TGATACATCATCGTCCTTCATTGTTGTTGTTGTTGTTGTTGTTGAATTAATCATATTCGTGTTCGTTATTTTCTTAAATATATTCATGGGTTCGCAAGATCTGGTTTATAAAATACTAAAACATAAAACCATGCAAGAAAAGCGCCCATCAACGTTCAGTTCTGAAGCGACTAGAACTACACTGCCAGCCCGTTTGCAAAAAGAGTTATGCCTCGATCGGAACATATTTCTCAGTTGGGAAAGTGCAAACGGACTGCCTGTCCTTTTCGAGATTCTGTGACAGGTTTTACTCAACATTTTCAGTCAAAAAGGTCATGCTTTCTGCAAATTTTTCAGCCAAAATAATTTTCATCGACTATATAGTCAACATTTTCGAAAATTCTCGATCTACGTCAAATTCTAAAATTGTATATTTTTTGATAAACAGAACGGTGCCAATTTTTTCAGAGCTGAGTGAGTTCGAGTCATAACTCAGACTCAAGTCTACTCGAGTCGTATTTTGTTTTTAATTCGACTTAACTCGGACTCGAGGTGAAAGACTCGTGCAATCTGGGAAAAAGACTCGCGAGTCATTTTTTTAGAATTCAAATTTTCGTTTTCTTATTCATTTATAAACCTTTTTATTGCAAAGGATTTAAAAATAAAAAGAGGAGAATACATCACAAGAGATAAGCCATCCTGGTCAGTATGACAATAGACCATTATGAAACATGAAAAGTCTACTTTAGCGGTTGAATTTTGCTTCGTTTTGCACAATATATGAAATTTCACTTTTCTACACGTAGAATTAACCGTCGGCTATGACAAACATTTCATTGCAAATAGAACAGATCGTAGATCTGAAGAAACAAAGCAATATTCTTTTTAGGCGAGCCATTTTAGGCCTACCTTTCCAGAAAAAAAGTAGGCTGACTTTCAGTTAAAAAATATGACTCGAATCAGATTCTGGAGGGTCGTATCACGAAAAAACTTAAGACACCGATTTAACTAAGTCTAGACTTAAGTCACGCTTAAATGTATAAAATTAGCACGTGAGTGCACACAACGAAGACTTAAGCCTAAATTTTGACTTAAGTTTTTTTGTGATACGGCCCTCTGGACTTGAGTCCAAATGACTCGGGCTCGAAAAACGAAAGAATCTTCCACCTCTGTTTTTTTTTCATCGGTACTACAAGTTCTTTTGCATGCAATGCTGAATGTGATCGCTCATCTCTCACTGTTTTGAATGATTTTTATCGAGCGAACTGGAAGAATAACTAGAATTCAAAACAATGTAATTTAGACCTATAGAGAGTTCTAGCGTATTCCGTGTACGGTATCAGTCACAACAAGCAGGAAGATCCTTTATTTTCTCTCCTTCTTTTTTGCACGTGTTTAGCGTTCAGAGATGACTCACTATTAATATGAATGACTTATTTTAGAGCAAATCATACCTTATTGAGTCATTTTAACTCTTACGCTAAGACGACGCAGAAATTTCTGAAAAATTGTATCAGAAAACATCCTCGATGTGTTGTATTGTTTCAGTTTTTCTTGCTTTTGATTTGTACGTACAATGTTACTTAGCAACGAAATCAGTCTGAATATCGCAATGGTTTACGACAGAAATTTTTACCACTTGTGCAGGGTGTCGACTACAAATCCCAGAAGAGAGTAAGATTAATATTCAACTAGGTACTCAGAAAATAGGTAAGAGATTAATGAAGTTGTATGAGTTGCTTATTGTTCGCAAATAACAGCACTTTTCGATATATTGCACATTCTGATAAATCACACTCACGGCTGGAGAAAAACACTGTTTCGATCGATCGTAGTTCTAACACATTCTGTTTAACTGATGATAAATAATAGCTATATGACAGCATTCGGTGATATATAATATTCCAGTAATTAGTCTCGCTTCTGAAATGTTATTATATTTCTCTCTTTTTTTAGATGGCTGCAGAAACTTCTCGAGTGCCTGTGATCCACGTTGATACACCCTACAATAAATTTGATTTACGCGGCTACACATGCGAATTATCGGCAAATAGTTTTGTTCCACCAACTCGTTATCAACAGGGGAAAGAACGAAATTATTTCAATTATCAAAAACAAGTAAGAAACGCGAAGGGGGAAGCAACGTTTGGAATCAAGAACCAGTATTCTACTCTTTTTGTTTATTTTTTAGTTTCAGGTTACTATCTCTATACTCGTACGCTTATTGTTGTTGTTATTGTAATCTTAGATTGTCATGTAAAACGTCATTGAGCATAATTTGCTGCTCTTCCATGCATTTCCCATAGATGGCTGAACACTTTTAACGGCCTGAACACTGTTAGAGAACAGCCTGTTAACCATCCCCTTTTATTTTGACAGTAATAAACAATACATATTTCAGAAAGTCAGAGATAGATGACTGATTTTCCTTCGTACAACGTGAAATCTACATGCAACTAACAGATTGAGATATCTCTGTAAAAATGCTTTATACCTACCTACCTGCTTGTTTGTTTGTATCTGTAACGTAAACGTAAGTATGTCTGACAATGTTTGCGTAGAAATATAATTGTGCTTAGTGTAATTGTTTTTACAAGTACCTTATATTCGATCTATGTGGAGTAACACATATTCTTGTTATTATCTATTTAGATAAATCCAACATCAACGTATGATCAAATATTTCAAATTAAATATGATTTCAATCCAAAAGCTCATCGCGATGATCGCCAACATTCGAAATTTATTGGTTTAAAACAGTGGCAAGAAGTAGGTCTCTTTCACATCAGTCTGACGTCAGTTGTTTGGCTGTCAACTCTTAATCGTGTTTACAAAGCAATATTTTTTTATTATGCAGGAAAATGAAAAAGTATTTCCTACTCGCTCATCCTCTGAATATGGTCGACGAATAACACAAACAATTGATAAAAATGATCGAAAACACGTGCGAATTGCTCATGTTAAAAATGAATTTTATCGTCCAAATGGTGTTGATCAAAAACCCGTGAAAGCTTAAAGTGTTCAGTTTTATGGCAGATATTTTATTGTATAGAAATTAATCGAAAAGACTAATTTTAATATATCAGTATTTTGTCTCAACAGACAGTTATTATTTCAGAAATTGTTTCTACATTCTATAAACGTAGATTTTTTCTATAGTCTAAACAACAAAGAGTAAAAATATGTGTTAAATGATCATATGTTTTTGTGGTATACCCTTTGCAGTTGATAAATAGATCATTGTAACACAAATAACTCTTTTTTATACAACGTGTGACATCAAACTTATTGCCTACAAACGTATATTCTGCAACGAAATGAAGCCTTCTTTGCACCTAGAGAATCTGACTTCATGATTCTTCACTTATTTCTTGCATTATTGTACGTCAGCGTTTGAAAGAGATTTGTACTTTTTGTCTATTCTCCCGTGTAAACTCCCCTTGTTTAGAGAAGCAGTTTCACAAAGATATAACACAAAACTGTATTAGAGTCATCATGAAACTCTATTTTGACTAATATGAGATGTATTAGTTTTTTCATATGGGCAAAACACATTACCGATGCAGCTTCAAAGTACAGTCCTTAAGTCAATCAAACTGAATTAAATAGTATCACAATAGTCTGTTCATACTTCAGCAAACAAACTGACTTTTAACGGCTCAAAACTATCAGGAAATAGTCCGTCAACAGTGTGATGTTAGTTTGTTAGTAATGTCCCGATAAACAGCCATTCAGCTGTACATATCTGAGACTTCAATTTTCATCACCGTTAAAATTCTGTTTTCATGCTGATTCATGATCGTTAATTAGTACTGAAAAAGCGGACATCTCACGCTCGCTGATTGTAGACCGTTTGATTTGTAAGTTATTCACCTTTTTGTTTTTTTACCACTACTATCTAATAGTAGTGGCAATACGAAATAATATAGAATCTTTTTTCACAGACAAGCCATCGAGACTTATCTATAAGAAGCAGTTATAAAACTTAAGACTAGTATTTAAAATAGTATCACAATTCTGAGAAATCAGGGAATTTGAAAATCAGTATTTCTGAGATAATTGCTGAACAACAAAAAACATCCTAAAACTAATCTGTTAATGACGGCGAAAAACTGGTTTTAAAATCAGGAAAATAGTTGTTTTTTGCTCCTAGAAAAATTGCACTTTTAGACATTAAAATCCTTGTTTTACGATCATCCTTTTCGTTGTTGATGTCAACTGTTCATCTTCATTTGAATTCTTTTGTATTTGTACAATTTCTTCGTGTTGCATTTTCTTGTAGAATCTTTTTAAAGGAATGCAAAATTTTCGAAAAAATATCGTTTTTTAATTTCCTAGATTTCTATTGGAATATCTTATCTCTTTTTCTTCTTTATTTCGAAAATGAGAGTATTTTGCTATATGACCGCATAATTACAACAATTGTTTCATTCGTTGGTGAGCAATTGTCTGTTTCAATAATGAGAAGAGTAGTTTTACCATCGATCATGACTATAATAGTGAACTTTTTAATAGACTTGGAATAATTATGTCGAAGAATGTTGTCAATATTTTATTTAGAAAGTGTAACATTTTTTTTAACACACACAATCGATAAGGTATTAATTTTTTGAATTACTTGTTAATGGAGAATAATTTCCGATTGTATCAAGCCATATTTGAACTTTTTTAATAATTTGTTTTTTCTCCTCAATGGTTTTCAATGGTTGCTGCTGAGCGCTTTTTGTTTTTTGCACTCTCGTTGTTATTTGAGCAGCTGTGAATGGTTGTTGTTGTTGTTGTTGTTGTTCAGTGTAAGCAACGCTTGACTCACCAGTATGTAAACGTTTAACGTGGTAATTATGTGAATCATCTGGATCACTTGGACGACGTTTCATTATTTCGAGTATTCGTTTACGAATCGGTGATATTGATGAATGAAATGTTGATAGTGGTGGATATCGTTCCATAGACACTATGTTGAAATTAAAAATAAATAAACAGTAAAAAAAAAAGTGGTTAGAGTTTAGATCATGCAAGATGTAAAACTATTGTCTTGAATAAAAACTTATTCAGAAAAAACAATTTAAATAATTCAAAACATTTGGAAATTTGAATGTACGTAATATGTGACAACTTCAAACATCGAGCGCGCCATAATCATTAATTCTGTTTTGGTTGTCGTTTCTGATAATATGATAGAGTATATGTTTGAAATTGACTCAGATTCTTTTTGTTGGTATTTAATATTTGATTAACAATATGACTGTCTATTTTGCTAGTTATACATTTCTACGACAATGTAATGTTAGATAATATCTCATAAATTGATAAATATACAGTTCATTAGGTTTTTTCCACTCATGATGGCTTCAACTTTTCATTCATGGATGAATTATTCTTGAAAATTGTACAAGCTGAACACATGAACTGAAACAAAATAACAGTTTCTTCACGAGTCATACAGACTTAACTATGTGCACTGTTCTGAAGAATAAAATTTCAAAATAAAAGAATCTCATCCATTTCAGGTTGGTGTATCAGATGTTTACACAGTCAAGCGTCAAATGAAGTGAGAAAAACCTACAAGCGGCGAAAGTTTTTGTAATTTTCCCTTTGTTGTGTCACTATTATCTAACTTTTATTATAACCTTTATTTTTCTAAACAATCTTAAAATTACTCAACGACTCTCCTTTAGACCTCACTAATAGTAAAACTATAACATCTTTCTTGATATTTGCAATCCTAACACTGCTCATTTCAAAAGTATTAAAAAGACTCTAACCATAAAAATGACTTCATATCTCGAAGATAACGTATAATTTATCGCCTACACGTGGAGAGGCCTTATATTTGGTACATCGTCTCAGAGAGAAGATTCTTTTTCACTCGAAATAGACTCGGGCTCGCCCAGTCCCGCTAGTTTTGGAGTTCGGTATTTCCTTGAGGGTACCGAGTCAAAGTCAAGTAGCAGGCAAAGTAAGTTCCAGTTCGAGCTCCAGAAATATAACCGGCGATCGGCCGGCCTACGCCGGTTCCGGCACGATCGAGGAAAAAGACGTAAACCGGTCGGTTGACCGGCCGCACTGGACCGACCCGGTCCGGTTCAAAGTTTTTACACTGATTATCGGTCCGGTCCACAAAAATCTTGACCGTTTACATCTTCAGAGTCCATTTTGAGTCCAATAATTTTTTCAAATCTTTTTGAATGCCGTTATTTATATTTCTTTTCTTCTATACGTACAACATATTAATCATCTTTCTTATAAAATAAACGGTACATAAGTAAACTGCTATTGCATATTCGATACGGATATTGAAAAACTGAAAATTTTCCCGTTCATTTATGTAAGAACTTGAATTGATCGGACTTGAAACAAAAACTCAAGTTTAAGTCCGAGTCTCTCGAAAATCTCCAGTATGAGTCCATCGAAGAATTTCCCTGGTCGGACTCGCCCACCCCTGAAAACTGGTTTTGCTAAAGGAAGAAAGTATATCTTTGTAACAGAGCAAAGTGGGTAGATTGTCTGTCTCTTTCTTTTGAATAACTCTTCCACTCTACATGTTAATTACTTAGTATTGCTTAAGATAATTAATACGTTAATCAGTACCAGTGTCGATCATAGGGAGTTTATTAAACATTTCTAATCTACTACTAATTCAAGGAGAAAAGTAATATCATATCTCATTTTGTAGAGAAACTTGCTCTACTAAATCCGGTGGTTAAAAAAAATTCTAGAAGATTATTGTGCGCTACAACAAGCTTGTTGTGAAAAAAAAAGCACGAAATTGCAACCGGTTAATACCGGTACATGCCTATTAATTATATTATTTTCTTCGAAAAAATCGAGAAAGCAATCATAAACCCCACGAAAAACCCAAGCAAAAAAGCTCTTTACTCTACAATAAAACGATCCATATATAGAGTGATTCCATGGGAAACCTCTCACTATATGTAAAATGTTCTTCAAACCCGGTGAGACTTACAGCATTTATTCAGCTTTCCTTCGCGACTTCTGAGATATATTTCTTCTTCTGAGAAGGTTATACCCTTGGACGGTAGAGATGGCACACTAAGGCCACTACCTCCGATTGAAAGTCCTGTTTTTAGAATTTTTACGTCGAAAAATTATCGAGATTTTCAGCAAAAGCTGAAAATCTGGTGGTATTACCCATAGCTCTTCTGCATGTGCACTGTTTAAAAATTATGCCTCATTGAAACTTCTGGTATCCAAAATTTCGAATCAAGATCGTAGTAAATACATTAAAGATATCAAGATCTTCGGCATAACAAGTGTTACACTAGGACGATGCTCAACAGCAACGCATAGAGTATATATTTTCTTGTCGTTTCTTGTTGCAATGCGAAGCAATAGCATTATAGTAATAAACTGAGTTTTTCCTTTCTAGAAAAGTGGCATTAGAGTAAAATTTTAAACGCGAATAGGGAACTGTGTGTCTAAATTCATAAATAAGCTACTATCAGTCTTTGCAGATATTCCAGTGGAAAGTTAGGACGTTCGAAAGTACGTGATGTGAACGATTGGGACTAATTTTTTTTCCAAAAGAAAAACGATAATTAATCTGAGTCATTCATGTGCAGGTGCATTTATAAGAAAGTACGTTCCCATACTATGTGATTCATTTCATGACAATGTTTTTATATGTAAGTAATGTTTTTATTTGCAAATAATCTACACTTTCTTCATCAATATGGTACGGCTGTGATCCAGCTGCCGTATGTTATTAACTTCGCACTGCATTTGCAACTCTCGCTGGTGTGAATGCCGTGTAGTTGCTGTAGATAAAAAGAGAACAGGATGTTGAAGAACAATAATTAACAAAATTATTCAATTAATATAAGGCAAAAATTGTAAGACTCAATCTAATATCTTCTTAGAAATAACATTCACATTACTAAAGCTTTATCTTTAGTTTGCTCATATAAACGTGAAAGAAAAACCTACTGTTCATGCAGAGCCGCCGCAAAAAGTTTAGAAAATTTGTTGAAACTAATATCATTTTCCTATGGAAATTTTTTTTCGCCATTTTGTTCGAAAAAATCACCTAAACCTTCGGCAATACGTCTCGCCAAAAATAAAATATCGTCTGGGTTATCGATTGTGCAGAATACGAAAAAGCACTTTAACGTAACTCTGTATGACCTTTATTCATTTTTCTGTCAGTGATATGAGCCATGATATGTGATTAGGTTAATCACATATCATCGGTTACGATAAGATTCATAAAGTTTTCTTCTAATTAATTATTATGTTAGAGTCGCTAATCTGTCTAATATGGCATAAAATAGTAAATTTTTACTTCAATTAGGGACCGCTTGGATGAAAACCAGAACACGAATTGCGAATCTTGTTTAACATTCATGACGAAAATACACAATGTGGAAGTGATCATGGCAAGAATTATCTTCAAATTAAATTTTCACGCCCATGTCGTGCGTGCTGTTTTAAAAAGGTTAGTTCAAATACTGTCGGTAACCGGTTTTTTCCATTCACTGTTAACACAAGTAACAGAAGTATATAGCAGAAAACACACAAATTTGATAAACTTTTGATTTTCTGTTTCACATTACCTTTTTTTTTCGTTTTTTAGATTCACGACTCGTCGAAGTGTGAACTTTGACTTGAATAAATTTTCTCCCAGACAGTGAGTATTCTTGCATTTTAAGAACTAGATAAATGATCAAAAAGAAAATAAAGCTTGAAAACAGTTTCGAATTCACAATGAAAAAACTAACCGCGCGGGAAACCGTATGACGTATCTTTTGCGTTTACGTAGCTGTAACCTCATGGTTCACCGGTTTGGTAACCGAGAGGTAACTGGCGGTATTTTGCCGGCATTGATCTTAAACATCTTCGTATTCATTAGGTTATGATATTAAGTCAAAAGACGGAAAAAATGCCGATATCCTCCTTATATGATCGGACGTCGACAGTACCGGCATCATTTTCATCTTAGTCTATTCCTGTCTTCGATCATTTATTGATCGGTTATGATTTTACTGGTGCATAAGTAACCCTCTTATCTGTTGGATTTGTTCTTTCCAATTGGTGTATTATCCAGTCAATTATGTTATCTGAAATCTCAGCTGATAGTCGAATGATTCGGTAGAGATAATATAATATATTATATTAATACAAAACACCACGAGCTAAAGTTAAGTCAAGTTAACGGTTTTATCTTTTTTAGTTAAAATTCTCAGCACGATTGCGCTTAGAATCGCTAAACGTGAACTAATAATATGAATAAAATAAATGTGGATGATTACTTTACTATTTTTTTATTGTATTAATTAAATTATGTTATCTATAGGTAATTGCGTTATTTTATTGATTAGGAGCTGATATGCGTAATATGATTTTACAAACTAAACTGTTTTACTCCGTCCAGTATTTTTAACAGAAATAATTCACAAAAGGTGTACATCAATAGTTTACTTCTGTATTATAACTTGTTTTTGTATAGCTGTTTTGTAACGATAACCAAAAGTGTGAAGAAGTTAATTTTTAAAGCTTTTGTACACTTTACTTCGCTTTATACATTTTGTCATTACAAATCTTGTCTACGACCAGGGATTCCGATTGTTTTTCGGCCATGGGGACGATTATTGTGCAGGACAAATATCAACATATCTTGCAGAAAGGGATGAAGCATAAAAATGAAGAATTAATTGTATTACTAGTGGATAGTAGAATAATTGCAGATACTTGGGATGGATTTTCTCATATTATTAGTAAAGCAATCTTTATTTCTATCCAGTTCAAAATCCAAAAGAAAGTTGACAAAGGAGCAGGCTTATCAATTTCTCTTATTTATAGCATTTTTGTTAACGAATCCTTGACTTATGGCAAGACCGTTACAGTAAAGCGCGCTTGTGATAAGAATAAATTGTTTTAATGCAATCGCGTGCATCATAGTATTTTTACGCTATAAGAGAGTTGAACAGAATTACAACACGACTTGAACAATTTTTTTTACTACAGTCATGCTAAGGTGCAGACAAAAAGTTTAATTGAAAAGAGAAAATCTACAATCAACGTAGTTTTTTGATTTTTTTCTGTTGACAATCATTTTAAAAGCGAGTGAGTTATTTTTTTTTCATGTTGATCGTTTGTTCTAGAAATGATATTTCAGTTTATTGTATGATTAGAACAAAAACGACTATTTTATCGAATACAGCTCGACGTCATTATCGTTCTTCCACTATTCCATGGTTTAATTGGGAACAAGTTGCTGCATTACCTTGTTTTAGTAAACAACAATTAGATATACATCAAAAACATTATCAAGCCTGCGAAGTAGGAAATTGTCCTTCTATTCACCTCTTATTTCATATTATATTATTTATTTCAATTATATAGAATAATTGTGATTATTATATTGATCCATCGACGGGTTATCAAGTTAAAACACGTTTAGAACATTTGAAACGAGGCTCGTGTTGTGGAAAGCAATGTAGACATGTAAGATTTTTAATTTATCTTCTTATCTTCATGCTCTTGATTACAAAAGGATTTTTTTACTTTGTTAATATTTTATTGGTTTTTTTTTCCAGTGTCCTTTTGGTCATATAAACGTTCCTGTTTTACAGCGTATAAAAATATTCAATACATCTTATTACGAAGATGAAACTAAATAATGAATAATTAATAAAAAGTAAGTTATCTGTTTTTTTATTCTTTAATTGCATATTTTTATATGTCGTTCAGTGAGGAACTATCTAATCGTCATTCTATTTTTGTCAGAGGAGAAAATTTAGAGTAGAGTATAATCCAATCAAAATACGAATGTTTATCTAGATATTGTGCTTCGCTATTCGTTCAACACATACGATTAGAATAATCTTTTCAAAGTTTTGGAAGAACGTCAATATGGAAGATCATTTTTGTCCGAAAGAAAAATAAATTTCACTTTTTAAGTATCCAGTTTTTTATCTTTTCTCATCAATTCATTCTCTTGACAAAAAAGCGTTATTCTTCCCGAAGTATTGTCCCTTTAATAAAAAAATTCAAACTAAAGTTATATAAATATACTGTTAGTGTCCGGGCATGAAATATCAATACCATCATCTAATAACAATGATTCATCCAGTGAAAAAGAAGTATCTTCTCCGCTGTCAATGAGTCTGTCATCATTACACAAAACTAGAACGTATACAAATTTTTTACAAAATGCAACTACAACAGCACCAACTACAATAAATGATCAAGGATATTTATCTTCAAGTGAACGTCGTTACTCTGACGATGAGATTTGTTTCCCTCTGGACGACTTCCCAGAGGCTCAAAACAGAAGAGATACATCGTCATCATCTGGAATAGAGGGTGATATAGCAACCAGTGAAATTGATTTTTCAATTGGATTTGATGTAATGGACGACAATGATTTAATATCTCTGGATGAAAATGAACAATATGTAGATTCTTCTGGTAAGTCTTCTAAGTTGATCATTCTCTCAAAAGATCAAATAGATTTTAGAAAATAGTCCAATTGCTTTGATCTTATTTAACCTATTTCTTTCTTTTTAGATGAGTCAAACGTTGTCGATGATAGAAATGAATTTGGACGTCCTTATTTTCAACAAAAGTTACAAAAAACAGATTATGATGTTGAAGATGACAATGAACGACAAACAAGAACTGAATTTCTAAATTCCTTTAATTCATCTACGAATACATTATCTGCTAATCATTTCTCTCTATATGCGGATGAAAACACTGACGAAACAAATAATATCTGTCGATCAAAATCTATTAGTATTACTCATTCAAGTGGACGACAAAAAATAGCTAAAAATGTATCAAAAAAAGTTGTACGATTTGCTGACGTTATGGTAAGAATAATAAAGTAACCATTCAATTTTTAACCTCTTTTTTTTTTATAATTTTCTTTTCTCTTTAGGGTTTAGATTTGGAATCTGTTCGTTATATGACACCACCGGATCAATCCATACTCTCAATAATTCATGATTGTATCAAAACAAAATTGGAACAATTAAAAATTATTCGAAATGATGTATCAAACAATTTTTATTTAAAATCAAAGTCATTTATACAGCCTATCAATGTTACTCAACACGTTTATGATCGACAAGTATTATTAGAATATTTATATACAAAAGATTTGTCAGCATTTGGTACAATTCGTGTTAATAATATTTGCTATGAAAAATATGTATTTGTTCGATATACTCTAGATAATTGGTTGACATATAATGACCTTTCAACAATTTATAGTCAATATAATCGAGATGATAACACTGATTCATATATATTTGAGCTCAAAGTACCAGACGAAGTTTTATCATCAACACCTCCACCGACAACTATTTTATTTGCTGTATGCTATTCGACAACGAATCAAGAATATTGGGACAACAATTTTAACTGCAATTATCAAATTGAAATTCATCAACATTAAGTAAGTGCATTTTTTAAAATAAGTTGTGCAATAAGAGATTTTTAAGGGCCCGCCCCCCTCAGAAATTACCTTGGACATTGTACAGCCGATTTTAACGAAACTATCCATAAATGTTACGCACAATGGGTTACGGGAATGAAAAATTTTTTTGGCTTCAAATCTTACGATTTAGGATTTTTCCAGAGATCAACCATAAAGGACCTTGTAGTATTTCCCAAGATTTTTTAATATACTTCAAGCTAGAGGGTTCAGGTTTGTTTTATTTTAAACTAGACACCTAAGGACATGAACTGACCGGCGCTGACTTTTCAATTAAGTCTTTGTTCGTTTTATAGACAACATCAACCTCAAAAATCCGAAAAACGCTTTCTCATTCACTAGAAATTCTCAATTTGACAAAAAACTAAGACCTAATTGAAAAATCGGCGTCGGTCAGATCATGTAGTTAGGTGTCTAGTTTAAAGCATCGGTTGATCCATTTTAGGACTTGTAGGAAAATGTTTGTAACTTTTTGACGCAAGGTCATACAGGGTTGTGCAAGGTCCTGTTTTGATCAGAAAAGTTTGCTCTACAAAACTACGAGTTCAGAAAAAAATCAATTGCTTAAATATCCAGGAAGACCTTTAACTCTAGTGGTCCTGTATTTATGAAAAAGTTGTTTATTTATTGTCATGAGATCGCCAAAGATGTTAGAGATGCTAATTTATCGAAATATACTGAATTTTACCACGCGTAAGATGTTTCTAATCATTAAGTTTTTTTTTTAAAAAGTCGCTCATGAGGTTTCACATCTGTATTGTTAAATTAAGGAGTCCGTAGTTCAATCTCTATCATATTTCTTGCTGATGCATACAAATAAATAAAAAATTCATGTCAAATTACTATGATTTATGTAAAATCTCTATCTCTGCACAAAACACCCAAAGTGTGTAAATAATTTCTATCATTTTCTCACTTAAAAATGGCTGGGTTTCAAGGTTAAATAAATATTTAAATAAAATATATCAAAAAAAGACTGTACACATCTTATTAGATTTAGTATTTCAATTTTTTGTCAATTCCGATAAACTCGTTATCTGAACGCTTTTCTCATAGCTGGCAAGCTGATGATTACATTCTATATTATGTTCAAATATATCGATTGTACAATCTTGAGCTAAGAAACTATCTTTACATTTATTTTTTTTTCTTAAAGATTATGGTGATTGATTTTTATGAAAAGAATAACAATTTAACGAAAAAATTAGCAAACAAATTACAATCACTTTTTATTTTAAGGAATTTTAACAGTTATCTATCATCTACAAGTAATAAATTCCTTTTAAACGTATTTAAAACAATTTTTTAGTTATTATTTGTCTTTCTTATTGTTTTAATGTATTGCCATTATATGTCGTATTTATTTATTTATTTTTCAATCTATTTGAACAGCAAACATTTGTGACTGTAGTTGCTGTATAAAAAGATTGCTTGTGTAGTTGATCTCATACAGTTCTATATCTTTCTCTTTCTTTATATATATGTATTGCTCAAATTGTTGTCCACGATTCGTTTTTTTTTGTAAATGTTTTACGATTGCTATGCACGATGCCGGTTTTACCATTTGTATTTTTTTATGTACCTTTTAATTTTCTATTTGGTGAAGAGAGTTATATAGTAGATGTTAATTTAACCCAAACTTTTTTCCGCGTGATATTTTTGTTGTTGAGCTTTAATAAAACTAAAAGACTTATGTGACCTTTTTAATTTAATTGAACTATGACTAATCTATATACTTGAGCATTAACAGTTTTTATGAAATGTAATAAATAGACAATAATATAGATTAAGTTAATTACCGCGATGATGTATTATAAATACCATTCTTGCCAATATTAAATGCGTTAAATTCAGGAAAAAAAGTGTGTTTATTCACGATTTCTGATAATTTCGTATGAAAAATATTTTAAAAATTAGAAAAAGCTATAGTATAATTTTTTAAAATTTTCTTACTAAAACTATTTTCTATAGTCATTAAAAAAAGAAGATCTATTACGCACAAAAGTTCATTAGATGCCATGATTCATCTGTTAGATTAATATTCTCAAGATGTAGTGATCTATAACTATTTTCATAGAATTTATAGAAAATTTGTTTTTGTTTCATTTTAGAGAATGATTATTTTTTCAGTTTAGAAGAAATAAAAGTTTATTTTATCGAAGACAACTGTCGTCCAGATTGAAATTATGTTTCATTTTTAGCAAAATTGAGAGCAAGTTATTGTCTTGCTACTATTCCAGTAGAAAGTAAGTAGTAATCCTCCCTAGTGAATGTACTTGCGAGTGGATACTTAATTTACTTGTTGAACCTCCTTCAGATACTTGGAGGTTACTTCGGCAAGTGCTTGGCAAAGGATTTGAAGTAATTCGAGTACTTGATTTTCTTGATGAGTACTTGGTTTACTTGCGAAAAACGCAAGAACGTTGGACAAAACTTGCGAGAGTACTTGACTAAGTACCAGCATGCAGGTACATTCACTAGTTATCTATATCTTGTATGGAATTTCTTCACATGTATTTTTTCTACTTTTTTAGTTCTTTTATTCAACAATCTTTTGTAACTTTGTAAAAAATAATGTTATCATGTAAGTATAGAATACATGCAATTTATATTGATTAAAAAAAACCTGTCAATGAATGATTAACTTTTGTTGACTATTCCCTTTTAATGTTATCGAGTGTATAGCGAAGTAGCCCTGAATCGATGTTCTCAAAACGTTTTCAAACTAGGGGGCTCTTGTACACCAAACATTTTTGGTAAAAGGCGCAAATCAAAAAGTTGTATTGTTGCTGAAATATTGAAATTTTACGAAAAGCCCCGAAAAACGTCGATTCCGTCATCTTGAAAATTTGTCAACTTTAAACTCTTGTAATTCAGTAACAACAGATTACTTAACCTTGAAGAATTTCCCATAAATAGTAGATAGTGTGAATTACAAAACCACGCAACCGCGAGCTCAAAGCATGCTTTCGTTATTTTGTAATAGATGGCGCATTAAGAGCCTAAATCCAGAAAATCTTGAAATTTCCTGTAGCACTCATTTGAAATAGGGTTGATCGTGAGACTTTCAACCATATTTCCATATAGATTATGTGCCAACGCATATCTGGTAAAAGTTTGACGGTCTCCGGTGCTTTCGTTTTCAATACAGATGATTTGAAAGTTGCAATTTTGCCCAATAATGACTATTTTTGGCGATTTTGAGGAATAATTTTCGCCATGGAAACAGGGCCATTCTGAAGCCCCTTAGTATACTGCTGTAATACACTAGATGTACTATCATAATTCATTCTACGATTGTGGGTTTCGCTAAAATGGCTTCGGGAGCTCGGTCGAGGGGCACCGAGTTCTACAGAGTTGCTTCAATCAGTGTATTTCTAGTTAGTGTATTAAAATTTCATAAAAACCAGTTTGATATGCAACTTTTCACAAGGAATTAATGGGTATTGCAATAGCAAGTTAATTCTGCTATGAATGCGGTCCTATGTGCGAGTTCCACCGAGGGTACCTCTAATAAATTCGCTTCTGATGGATTTTCATATGTCGGTCAGTGGTTTTTAAATAACGACAAGCGATACAAACTTGTGTTTTTTGCGATTCTATAGCCAAGACTTTAAGTTATCTTTTCATAACTAAAATCAAGTTGAAAGTATTTCTCAATGACCGGTTTTCTAGAGATCTCTAGAAAACCGTTTCGTGCCTCACAACGATAAAGTAACAATATATTGATTTTTTTATGAGTAAATAGCCTAAAGTGTCCTCTTCAAAGTGGGAGTCAAGCGAGACTTTGATTTTAAGTGCTTTGGACGTGATATCTGACTTTCATAGTGCCCCAGGACTAGCACTTACGTTAGTGGTTGCGACTAACCTTGAAAGAAGAAGAGAAGTACATAGTCGACCATGCTAAATCTGATGGCAACGTTTATTTTATTTTACTTTATGTTACTCTTCCTCTTTCAAGCTTTTCTGGATTTGGGCTCTTAATGCACCATCTATTACAAAATAACGAAAGCATGTTTTGAGCTCGCGGTTGCATAGTTTCGATTGAACGAGGGTTTCTGCTTTGTCATATAGTTTTTTTTTCTACAATATTGCCTCTCCCTTCATTCATATTTCTACCCTTTTCTATTACATTCTACATTTTCTTTATGACTCAATAGAATCTACGTAAGAAGCTGTTTGGAAACCAACGTGTACACAATTTCACGTCATTTGCAACATTCTATCTCTCTTGTAACTTAGTCGTGCACCAAATCAAACCTCTGGTGTGAGATCTGAGTTGAACATGCTTGACTTTTTTAAAAAAATACAAATATTATTTTCAACTTCTACAGAAAGCATTTCTAGGAGTTGATTCAAGAGGCATGAATGTAGAAAATCAAATTCTGAAGAGTTTTGAACAAAAAAGATGAAGATTTGATAAAACTGACAATTTGTTCCGTGTATTCGAGTAATTTACATTCTTGTACTTATTATCACCTTGCACTCATGAATGTATCTTTTTTAGCTCGTAGCTATTTAGTCCATTCTTGCCTAAACTGATATTTAGTTCTTAGTTACTGTAGCACAAAGTTTAGAAAAATATTGATGTAATTTTTAAAAAGCTTCGTTTATATGCTAGAATGTATCTTTTAAATTTTTACAATCCATGCTTTGATTTCTCCTTTTCTTCAAAGTGTGCGAATAGAAATGATCTTGTTCATCATTCATATTTATTCTATTTCACATGGAAGAAATGTCTTCATTCTTAAAAAATGTAGATGATTTATATGCAAAATAGAGAATTTTATAGGAAAACGTCGTTGTGAAAATGATTTTTGAAATTACAATTGACTTATATATAAATGTGTGCTTTTAAAGTCTCATTTTTATACTTAATTATTTCATATTAATTTAAGACTATTCTTTTTTCGTCATTTATACAATTCTTTTCTAAAGTTTATCCCTACTTAATTCTAAGA